TTTTCTTCTAAGATTGCATTTTCTATAATGAAGTGGAATACACGCTTCCTTTCCTTTTTAATCTCACTGACTTTTTTTTAAACCAAAGAGTATCCCCATAATCAAGTCATAATTCTCATAACATTGAAAGATACATTCATTTTCTTTACAGCATGAAAGACAAATATCATTTTTTTCCTTTTTAAACAATGAAGTAAAAGAAGTTTCAATCTTTTGCCCATAGAAAAATATTTTTTATATCATTTACACCACAATAGAAAAATTCGACAGTATTTAACTAAAACTTCTATGAGCACAACAAGGTTTTAAAACGTTTTCATTCCTGTATTTGAAATTTTGAAATGTTTCAGGAAGTTAAACATTAGGATTTCTTCCTAAAATTGTAGCTTTTAACTTGAACTATTACTAATACCTTTCACTTTGTAAATTTAAAAAAGATCAGTTTACTTATTTATGCAATGAACCATGTCTAGCCAGTGTTGATGAATTGCACCCCAGCAGATACTACTTCTGGCTGCCCATTTAGCTTGCATTACTAAAATGAAAACAATGAATATTAAACTTTAGAAATCAACAGGAAACTGCCGTAGAAAACATACAAATAAATAGCAGCAAATTTAGATAGGAAACAGGAATAAAATTGGTATTTCCACCAAGATTTTGGAAATAAAATGTCTAATTTCTGACTGAAATAGGGCTTGTTTTAGGTAACATTGAAAGGCTTATTGTAATTGCTACTAAGAATGAAATCTGTATACAATAGAAAAATTGTGTTGATGATATTTGTAGACATTGTAAAGAAAGTTGAATTCCCCAAATTCAGAGATTCATTTCATGGGCTCTTTATAAAATTGCTGAAATTATCTATTAGCAGTTAGTCCTAAAATGTTTTATTATGTAAATGTGTTTCTACATAACTCTCAAAGAATTTCACAAAAACGGTTGCTACAACTTGTGTTGTGATCACACTGAGGCACCAATAAATTTTTGCCAATGGATCAGTAATTCTGATATTTGATTCAATTAATCCAGTGGGTTTCAATTAATATAGCTCTTTTACTTGGAGGAAACAACACACACACACACACACACACACACACACACACACACACACACAAATGCTGCAAGAGCAGTGGTGGGATAGTTGAAGCAAACGTGGTGAGTAAGCAGTCCTAATAGAGTCACTTTGTTGATGTGGCAATTACATAAAAGCAAACTGTGGCATAATTTATCTTGGTCTTGTCATGTTATTAAGAGATGTTTATTCCAACAAATATTTACCATAATGTGCAACTCTAAGGGACTTAAATGAAAATTCACCTGAACTACAAAATAATTACAACAAAATAAAAGAGATGTAAACATACCCCACATTACTGTGGTATAAATAATTTTTATGAATTCAAACCTACTTTGGCAACCTTACCGTCAGAATATTTTAAACATTCAAAACACAGATATTAAATAGAACACTGTTAAAAATTCTTGTTTCCTTCTTCTCCCTTCCTGATAAGATTATAAAACAAGTAATGCTACTACATGTTCACATTATGCACATAAATTGATTGCAAGTGGACATATATTCTAAATCTTAGTTTTATGTTTTAAGTGCTTTTAAAAATTAGCCTTCTAATTTGCATTTTAGAATGTTTTTGCACCGCACATATACAGCTTAAATACCTTACAAAAGCTTATGATCTGTCAAGGAAGCATGGCTAGCAAACTGGATCAGGTCCCACTGAGGATCACTTTGAAAAGTCTACTTATTTTCTAAACTAAGTGACATCATAGTGAACTCACTGCCTGAATAGAATTCTTGTGCTGAAACCCTAAAATTCATGAGAATTTATGATAATCACACATGTTGCCTAAAATAACAGAGTGAAATTAGATAAAAGTCTTTCAGGTTCCTTTTAGCTCTAATGTTGTACATGGTACTGCCTGTGGAAACAGGAGGCTTTTGCTCAAATACCTGATTAGATCTGATCAGATCTGCCAATAATTATAAACAACTATATAGTTAAAATAATCCTTTACCTCTCTTAGCATTAGCTTTTGTGAAACACACAAAAGTATCTTATGTGTAATATTAGTACTTGAAACCTTCAAGCAATTGTCTTAATGACTTAACATACCTTTATACACTTGAAGCCAGTTTTTATATATCAGTATACATTTTCTCTTTACTCTTCAAAATGACCAACCCTTTCCCCATCTCCTACTTTCACTAGGAGGCCACACAAAGGAAATAAAAATAGATGCTGTTACTCTGCGTCTATTTTGAATGAGTGCACTGGTTTAACAAATACTACCAATTCTTTTTGTGAATGTAAAGTCTATTCCAAAATATTCCTCATCCTGTGTACAGTATGCTGACACAAATCAGATGCTCAAACATACATTTGAAATGAACATCGTAAAACCATCATATAAATCAGAGAGGTTCACCAATAACTATTTCCATTTGTGAGAGTAACAGTCAACGTTGATTAATTGGGGGGTGGGGGGTGGGGAGTGGAAGGGGAGAGTAGTTTAGATATAAGTAATCTGGCATTTTTATCACTTGATGTTACATGATATGAGTGAAATCTAGACCTACTTGGTGTACCAAAGCTAGGATGATTCTAGAACCCTACATAGATCAATAAACAGGTTAAAAAATTCTTAGGTGTAATGGATAATGTCTTATCTGTTGAGTGAATAGGGAAGCATAATTAGCATATTTTTAAATTTAAGACCCCAATAAGTATGCCTTTAAAGAAGAATCTTTTTGTACATAACAATACTGACCGAGAACACCTCTCAGATGAACACTTGATATATGTGGGATTTACAGACTGGCCTTAACGGTTAAAAAAGGCAGCAGTGCTCACTGCCAACAATTATTAGTTAATCTCAGAAGTGTAAACATTAAGCCCTAAAGAACATGCCAACCATGTCACTTATCTGTTTATCTCTATACAACTGTATCTTTTGTTTTTAAATCTGTGGTTGTCATATTCTATCTACATAGAACAGACCAATTTTCTTTTTAATTCATGTGAAAAACTTCCCAGTTTTTAATTATGTAGACCTGAACATGATTTCACTTTTCAACTGATCATCATGTCATAGAGCAGCCTATATTACATTTATCTGTTGGCAGAGAATGGAATGTTCAAATAAAACTACAGTTTATTTACGCTTATACTGTCTTGATTATGAAATTCAGAAATAGATAAGAGAATTTCTCTTAGACATACTGGTTATGTTTACTATTATTTTTAGAAAACTTAAAATATTTTAATAATAATTTATTTGGTATCTTGGCTATTAATGATTAGGACTTAACTTCCTAAAATTGATTATTATGGATTTTGACTATCTGAAAGAAGATCATTTAGATTATACTGAAGATTTTAAAATGTACATTTCCCTCCTCATACTAAATGGCATTCCAAAATATCCACCATTCAACCCTAAATTTTATCAATACTATTGTGAAATATTCAGAAAACACCAGTAAAAGTAAATTTCCACAATAATCCATATAAAATAATTGTGTAATTATAACATTTCAATAGGTGAGCAAATTTCCACTTATATTAAAACAGGGCAATTTTAAAGTTCTATCTCCCTGTAGACTTAAAAATTAAAATAAAAAAACCTGAAAGGGAAAATATCCAAGTCCTTAAAGGGCATCAAATCCTCCATCAGGCAGGACAGCCAACAGTCTCCATGAAGTAACATGCTTATAACCTCGTAAGTACATGTCAATTGGAGTAACTTAACGGTATACAAAAATGACCAGAAAAACCCTCATTTCAGTTATTGAGGGATTTCATTTCATTTCAGTTACTGAGGGATTATACTTTGAAACAAGTCAACAATGTTTCATTCCTTGTTTGAAGTATCCTGACTAATAGACTAGTGTGAACAAAATGTGGTATGAACTGAAATGAATGCTGAAGAGTAATAATTCCATTAGTAATAGAAATAAGCCACAACTAACTGGTCTAACTCTAGCTTAGAGTATCAATATGTTTAACTTTAATGTGCATATTAGATGCCACTTATAAAGCAAGGGATAAAATAAATATAAATTTGAAGAATAAAGCATCTTTTAACTTGAGCTGCTAAACTGTAACCCTGTCTTTCAGGAAAGGAATGTGCAGATTTAAACAATTCCATAGCAGCAGAGCTCTCACTCAGAAGAACACTAATTACCTTTGCTTCCTGTGACAAAATACAGGGTCTGAGTAAGAAACAGAATTTCCTTACCCTTCTTTGACTGCATAACTCTCAATACAAGAAGTTATTTGCAAATGTGAACTGACTAAAAATGCATAAAAATGTAAGTGTACAGTATACATACATACCTTCTAGTGGGTCAAATGAGTGCCTATTCATTAGACATACAGAGATGTCTCAAGGCACTTACGGGGTTAAGACATAATACATGCATTCCTTTATATCAAGTACATGAAATCACATGATTTGGAATAAGCCAACCTTAAGGTAAATATGTTACATTATTAAATTCAAGAAAATCTGTAGATTCATATTTATACTTTCTGTAAGATGCTGGTAAATGGACAATGTGCAGCATTTCCTGGGAAAAGCAATTCCACCTTTCTTCTTATGAACAGCAGGTCTCTACAGGGGGAGTGTAGGGAAAGATGTGCTGCATCCATAGGCAGTGTATTGGCTAATATTGAAAATGATATTGCTAAAATTTAAAAAATAAAATCTGGTAATCAAGTAATATAGTAAGTACATGAATCACTGCAAACACCAGAGCTGACTCCTGATGTTTACTTCTTTTTGCTTTCAAAGTACAGGTGTAACAGAGATTATGATAATTCTGAGCCTTGTTTGTGGCAATTCTTCTGGTAGGGGACTGCATGGCACCACTACAAAATTTCATGAGTTACCCTGAACATACTCAGTTATTCACTATTTGTTCGAAACAAAGCATGAAATAGTCTTTAAACACATGAATTATAGGTTTTGAGAATGACTTTTTTTTTTAAACATAAAGTGCAACAGTGCTGAAGTTTTCAGTTTTTGTCAGTTCTTCATTTTTTGTTTAGATGCCATTTCCTGCAAGCAGTATTATGGCACAGTGAATATAATTGGAAAGCAGTTTTCTAACACATATCCCAGATTTTTTGCTTTCTTATTTATTTGATGATGTCGTTAAGGGTCTAACAAATCCTTCTTCATAAACTTTCAAAATAGCTTCACATACAAATCTGTATTGACTCTGAAAAATAAAATAGAATTGATCAGAAAAACTGGAAAATAAAACAAAGAAATGACAAACAAGTCACTTGACTTGTTTACAAAAGAAATACAAAGTAAAACAGCACAGGGATACCATTCTTCATGAGCAGACTAACAAAAAATAACAGTCAGACAACATATTTTGTTGGCAAACTCCCTCATGCATTGCTAATATTCCTAGCATTGGCACAATCTCTATGGATGGCAATTTGGCAGCATCTAACAAAATTACATTAATTTATCTATTGACCCAGCAATCCTACTTTTAGGAATCTATCAAAGATAAATTAGAAAAAGATATTTAAAACATATATTCATAAGTGAGGCTAATATATTATTTATAATAATTAAAAAGTAAAAGCGATCCACTCGCCATCAGGAAAGGGCCTGGTGAGTAATCTGTGGCACATCCTCACAGTGGATACAATGTAGTGGGGGAGGAAGAAAAGTCTAAAGATTACTATAGAATGATTCCAGGATATGTTAAGTAAAAACAGCAAGGTAGAGAAAACGGCATTTAATATGTTATTTTTATAAAAGAAAGTAGGATATAAAGATCTCTCAATATACGGGGTGGGGCAAAAGTAGGTTTACAGTTCTGAGTACACAAAACACAGGGTTTATTCTTGTATTATAAAAGCAAGGGAAGGATATATCATTAAAAAATGATTTCCTATAAAAGGAAGAAAAAAATAAGGTGCAGGAGAAGGCTAGAGACTAGACTTCATTGAATACACTTCCTTCTTTTACAGATTTTACTTTGGAACCATAAAAATATACCCCATAATTAAACCAATTTAAAAAAATCTACAAATTGAAAATAACATGAACAAATCAATGTGTATATCTAGTTGATGGCAGAACTAAACAGAAAGAAACTATATCAAGGGACTTTGAAACAGTAATTTGTCTGTATATCTTTTGTAGAATATATCCGAAAACCACTGTAGAAAAAATTTAAGTTATGTTCAGTAACCATACTGTCGGTGGTAGTTGTGTTAGTTTAGTTGTTCTGAGACTGTTCTTGTATAATCAACCTAAAACAAATGGGTATTTGTGATATTTTAAGTCTTTCATTGCTGGTTTTGTAGAGAACCAACATTTTTGTTAAAGAAGAAAGGTGGTAAAGATGTAAGGTAGAAGACATTAAGTAAAAATACTGTGCTCCTGAATTTGTATTGGAAACACCAGTATTAATTCATAAGTTTGTTTTCCTACTTCTGGCTATTGAAGATTCCTACAGACAAATACCAACACTAACCCCAAAGCAACAGGAAACCTTAGTGCTCACAGGTGCTCCCTAATATAATTTCTCAATAAAAAGAACCAGTACTTTTTGGAGAAATTACAGATTCTAAGTTTGGGGCAGAAAGTGTACAAAGCTGGAGCCTAGTTATCTTTATTGATGACTAGAGGCCCGGTGCACAGATTCGTGCACAGGTGGGATCCCTCAGCCTGGCCTGCAGGGATCAGGCTGAAACTGACTCTCCGACATCCCCCACGGGGTCCTGGATTGTGAGGGTGGTTCTCGGGTGACACAGTCTGCAATTGGGCTCCCTCCTCTCTGGTTCCAGGTGCGTCACCTGAGAACTGCATCTCCTGTGTTGAGCGTCTGCCCCCTGGTGGTTAGTGCGTGTCATACTACTGGTTGGAGCATCTGTCCTCTGGTGGTCATTGCACGTCATAACTACCGGTCGGACGGTCGTTTAGGCTTTTATATCCTATACTAGAGGCCCGGTGCACAAAAATTTGTGCACTGGGGGGGGGGGGGGGGGGGGGCCCCACCCCGGGCGTGC